ACCGTGCACACTGTCAGCCTTTGTTTAAAAAAGAAAAAATATTAACTGTGCCTTCTTTGTTTATTTTAGAAACTATTTGTCTCATACATAAAAAATATTCTGGTCTAGAACCTGAGGAGGTAAGGTACAATACCAGAACACACACTAATAATAACTTACGTTTACCAATTCCAAAATCTACTCTGACTAAACATTCTATATTCTTTGAAAGCAAAAAAATTTTCAATCACCTCAGTAATGATTTGAAATCAGTATCGGACTATACCCAATTTCGAACGAATGCTAAGAGTATGTTATTGGAGAAAGCATTCTACAGCTTGGAGGAATATTATGGTGATGTTTTATGATTGTCTTGTTTTTTATTTTTTATAGACCTATACACATATTTACAATTTTCTATGTTTTGTGTTTTGATTTGTTTCTTTTATATTATTTCAATTTATTTATTACATTAAGTCATTCTTTGGCCTTATGTTAATTTTAGGAATTTTAAGATTTTTATGTGATTTTGTGTAATTCGTATAACTATTAATTTAGATTAGTATATAAATTATTATATTATATTATCCGCTTTGTCAGTAAAGATTTATATTTTTTGGACAATAAAGCACATTGAGTATGAGTATAATCCTGAAATCTCTTGTGGTATTACATTCGAGAATTTCATACATCTGCCAAAACTGGTATTCCAACAATGAACTGACATGTTTTGATTGTTGATTTGAACCAATCAGATTGCAATTATCAGATAATTGCATAGTAACTGGTGCGAAAACTGGTGTTTTGACATTTTTTGACAAAAAATTTAAATTTTTGATTTATGAAATTCTCTCATTAAATACAACTCGTGCAATGGAAATATATATATAATTTTCGACAAATTTGCACTCATGCGTTTTTAACTGAAAAAGGCACTCGTACTTGTGCTCTTTTTCAACTAAAAATGCATTCGGGCAAATTTCCCAAAAATTATCAATAATTTCCATTGCACTAGTTATATTACTATTGAAAATTTCATAGTGAATCATTTGATTTTGAAAATTTCATGATATTTTGGAAATTTTCAGAAAAATTCAGGAATTTTGAAAATTTCACGGAAATTTCAATATTTCCATGAAAATTTCAGAGTGAAATTTCCAGATGAACTGAAAAGTGAAATTTACCCAACCCTACTGTCAATCCAGGCATCCTCTTCCAAGCCTCTGTCTCTCATTTCCTCGTCTACTCCACTTCTCCAGCTTCTTCTTGGTCTGCCGCGCCTTCTTCTTTCCTCTGGCTTCCACTCAATAATTTGCTTGGGTACCTTGTATATCTGCCATTCTTTGTACATGTCCGAACCAAATCAGCTGTTCGTCCTTTATATCATCTACTATTGTGTGTTTTACGTCCATAATCTCCCTTATTCTCAGATTTGTTATCCTTTCCATTTTTGACCTGCCTGCCGGTCTCCTCCAAAAGTCCATTTCAGTTGCTTCCAGCATTTTGCGGTTCTGTTTTTTAGTGGATAGAAATAAACTAAATAAATATGCCTGCTGGCCATACGACAAATAACCACGTGCTTGGCGTTCGGCAGCAGCACACATCAATACGATAGTTCGGTTAATCTTCAAAATTGGGTTTGTGCGCATATGACGACACCATACTCTTTACTCTTGACGCGGACTCTACCACCTTTTTAATTCCGAAGCGTGAAGTCACACGTAGTGGACTTTGCTTCGCCTTTCTTTGCTTCGTGCCAGTTTACCATTGAACTAAAAAACACTCTGGAACGGGCGCACTGCTTTATGCTAGTGTGCCAAATTTTGATGCATGCAACCCAGCAATACAGAGGGAATTTTGTCTCGCTCGCACTCATTGCCATTGATGTAATAGAAAAAAGAGCTTCTTCATCTTCCTAACCTTAATGATCTAAACACTTCAAACAGCTGTTCTCAATAGCCGCCATAGTGCAGAGAGAGATGCAAATCCCTCTTGTTTGTTGTCCTTCCTGACACAAACTCTCGCATAGAAACAATTATGCAGCCACCGTTCCAGTGTGTTTGTTTAGTTTATTGCAGTTTACCGACAATTGGCGAGAAAATGACGAAGGACGAATATGCACCAATAGCACCAAAGTTACCTTCCCACATAAGCCCGAATACCGAATGTTCGCCGAATACACGTAGCGTCTGGCACCGGCTTAAGCAAACGTTCGTAGCTCGTAGCGGATCATTACAAACTTTCCCAAAGACACCGTCTAACGATCAACCATACAGAATAGACTTTATAACGACTATCGTTGAGCCTGTCGTTAAAAAACGATCGTCCGGTAATCTTTACGCAACGATCAAGTTACAGAATAAGCACCTTAATCCCGACTTTTAAAATTTGTGTAAACTGTGTTTTTTTTTTTATTGTTCATCTAATTTGACTTCAATATTAATTTGTAATTTTATTTGATCATACCATTTATTGTAACAGTAAGCACAGCCTATTTTTCAAAATGTTGAATTTTGTTACTATTTCTGACAGTTTTTAAATAGTTTTGTTAGCTGTTAAGTTTTGGTTTGTCGTCCTCTATTTTCTTATACCTATAACTGATTTAATGTTTTACTGTTAATAATTTATATGTATTTTTATCCTGTTACTACGCCAAGTATTACTGGCCTATGTTTATTTAGTTGTAAGGTACTTAATGTTTCTTGTTGTTTTTTTTTTCTTTTGAAACTTTTAATGGGTCTTGCCCGTAAATAAATAAATAAATAAATAAAATGAATTGTAATGTTTTTATGACAATAAAGCACTCTATATATCTATCTCTCAACTAAGAATATAATTTATGGCTCGGTTTACGGTTCAAGAAAAAAGACGTTTTTGAAAACAATATACACTGCAGCATGAGTGAAATTCTGCTAAACTACCACCAAACTAAAATAAAACTACATTTGGACTCAATGCTGTGAATGACTTGATATAATTCGATCAGGGTCATGGGTCATCTCCCGGACTATAACGGATAATAGATGAATACCTATTGTATTATAATTCTTTCAATATAGGGAAGTTTACACTTGTAGTCGTGACACACTAAGGCTCAGTTTCACAATCGGAGGTAACCTGCACTGGTTATCAAGTTAGTTGTGGGTTAACCACAAGTTTGCAAAATGAGGACTGACCAATGTTTTGGGCTCAACCACACATTATGAAACAGATATATTGTGGGCTACCAGTGTCTTGTTTTTACCGTTCGGGTACTGCTGTTTGTGAAACTGGACATTTTTTAATAATTATTCTTCAATGATAAGGAATATGCAACAGCGGTCTTTTGCGATTTTTCAAAGGCGTTTGACTGTGTCAATCAAAACATCCTTCTAGAAAAGCTTAAAATTTATGGTTTCAGAGATAAAATCTCTAGTTTTCTTAATTCATATGTAGTGGGAAGAAGCCAAGTAGTTAGAAATGGTCAGACAACATCAGATTTAAAAACACTATCATGTGGGGTACCGCAGGGCTCCATGCTTGGACCTCTTTTATTCTTGTTGTACATCAACGACCAAGCAAACGTAAGGATAGATGGCTCACTTTTGAATTTTGCAGATGACTCTACAGTGAAATGGCATAGCAAGGACCAGGCACTTCTTAAAAACGTAGTAATAAGGGACATACTTAGAATTAAGAACTGGTGTGATGCCAATGATTTTTGCCTTAATATTGATAAAACAAAAATTTTGAGCTTTAAATTTGATATTGATGATATTGAATTGGAGAACGGGATAATTAGGAATGTACAAAGTACAAAGTTTCTTGGGCTCTACGTGGACGACCGATTAAAGTTTGATGTACATGTTGTTGCATTGAATAAGAGACTGGCGTCTGGCTGTTATGCTGTGCGAAGGACTTTTTCAGAGTTGGGTTGCAGTATTGCTAAATCTACCTACTATGAACTTATCGAGTCACACTTGAGATACGGCATTTCGTTTTGGGGCTACTGCAGTAGAGGTCTACTTAATTCGGTTTTTACAATACAGAAAAGAGCTATAAGATATATGTGCGGCAAAGGTATGAGAGACCACTGTAGACCGCTCTTTTTGAGAGAGCAGATTTTGATGGTCGTTTGTTTATTTATATTGGAGACGGTTTGTTTGATATTTAAAAAATATGGGGATCACACTCATGCTCATTCTTACAGTACTCGAAATCGCAACGATGTTCCACTCCCAATTCCTAGATTTGCTTTGACCAGACACTCAGTAATTTTCGAGAGTATTAAGATTTACAATAAACTTCCAAATTATTGTAGGTCTTCTGAAAACTATAGAGGGTTTCGTAGGTCAGTTAAGAATTTATTGAAAGAGAAGGCTTACTATGATTTGGCTGAGTACAATGATGACACTTTCTAGCATACTAAAAACTTAATGAGCCACTTTATTTATGACTTAGGGCTTTTTTTTTTTTTTGATACTTACTTGTTTGTTTTTGGATATTTACAAATTGATTTTAATGGAAATTAGGTAATTATGTATATGTCAAATGTTGTAATATTTGTTGAGTTTATTAGTTTCAGAGCCTGTACGAAAATTGTTGGCCTTAATTGGGCAATTTTTTTTTTGTTTTTTTTTTATTGTGTTATTATTATTGTATTTTATTTTGTTTTTTTGTTGGTACTGCTAAATTTATTGTGCTTTGTCTATAAAAAATTTGTATTTTTTCGACAATAAAGCTTATTGAATCTTGAATCAATACCAGTGCTTCAAGCTCAAGCACTGCTTAAATTTGCTTAGAAGATCCTCATGTATCTATTTGTAGGTATATTCTAAATTGTTTATAAGAATAGGTATATTGTTTTCAAAAAATATTTCTCCAATACAAGATTCTTTGTGTGTGGAGTGACTGTCTGATGCAAAAAATGTGTAAAAGTGTGCATAAATTATAAGGTGATGAACTCGGTGATGAATGATGATGCATAGTTATATAAACAATATTGTTTCATTGTATAAATTTGAAACTTGTATTATACTCACTCCTCCGAGGTTTTGGGAAGGATATCCTCACTATCATCGGAATCCATGATAACGTCTTCAACTACTTCTACCATTTCGACGACCGAAAATTTAGCTTTCAAAACAGCAAGTAATAATTAATGAAATCGCATTAATTATTCAAATGACACCGAAAATTTAGAGACTTTTTAATAAAGAACGACGAAATGAAATGATGTTGATACTCGTGAAACTGGAAAATCAGATGGAGGTTTTCTAGAATCCATCAATCTACATTGATGTTTGACAATGACATTAAACTATTCAAATTTGATAGGCCATGTTCCGATAACTGCCAACTGGATTTACTGTGCTGATTTTACTGTCATTTGCCGTTCCGATTTCAACAGCGTACTCTTGTGGCCATTTAGTACTGAATCGACTGAATCCAGTGTACAAAATAATATCGGAACGGCGTCCAGTAAACTCAGTACTGACAGTTGATATCGGAACAGGCATAATCTCACAATGTGGGTGCATTCCGTGGACGTATATTTTGAAAGCGCTTGAATTTGTTTGGTTTGGATTTGAATCGGTCCCGGACGTTGCCGAGGAAATTGGAAAATCGACAATGCGACGCATGGCACCTGACGCAATTATTTGTTTTCCCTCAAGAGAAAATCAAACGAAATGAAAAGACCGTCAACCACCCTGTCACAGAGAATATAGAATTTATTTATTATTTTTATTTGTTTGTACAAAATAGTGATAAAACACGGCATGAATGAAGGCTAATTCGGTTGATTTTCCGGTAAGTTGTACAGCTATTTTTGAAAGTTTTTCAACTAGAGAGGTGCTGGAAAATATAATTTTTTTGATAGACTATCGATTATTCATAAATTAATTCCTATTTCTGGATTAATTTATTATTTTTAGTGCGTCGTGGATAATTATTTGATTAAAATTGTAATTTATATTATAATAACGCCGTCGCTCATCCTCTGGCCGAAATAGTACACTGTGACATGGTTATCAACCGGCAATTTGGCACGTTTTTGAATCCCACTGGGAAACTAATGCGGTACTTCTTTCCTTGCTCCGAGTGCAATCAGTTTAGTTCCGCACGTCGTGCAACTGCTCTCTTGAGGTCGAGCGGCACCGGAAGAAATTTAGGTTGTGAAATTATCGGACGTTTTTGAAAGGAAACTTCTTCAGGTGCATTCAGCACATTTTGTTTCTAGGTAGTGAATGAGATTAGGCCGTCACGCCCGCCGAATATGTAACGCACATTCGGGTACAGACGGCTCGAATAGACCTTAGCCAAGCGAAAGAGAGAAACACTCAGCAGTACAAGAGAGAGAGAGAGGTAGCGTGATTCTAAAAAAAATATGGAGGTGGGGGGGGGGGGTAATTAAATATGGCCAGTGGCGTCTCCAGAGGGCGGCAGTCTGCCCCACTCTCCTTTCTTTTTTGTATAATTTTTTTTTTGCAATTTATATGTTTTTAGATGACCTTTATTGGGTGATAATTTGGGCGTGGCACCCCCAAAAAATTTTCGGGGAGCCTGCGACAAGCTGCCTCTGGCGGTAAGTAAGCGTGTATTGGATTTTTGTTTACCCTTCCAGACCTACACTCTGGATGCGCCACTGGGTCCATTGAATCCAATGTACTACTACTGTCTGCCCAACCGCCCCAACCCAAAAATAATACAACACACTACTTCTACAGAATAGCCTATAAAGGCTTGTCTATTGAAGAAAAGAAATATAAATATGTTTTTGTGCTGATTAGCGTTGCCACACCAAAGCTCTGTTTCCTCGCGTTCACTTTTTTGAAACTGGTTCAAAACAGCATTGAAACAGTATATTCTCGTGATGCACTCATGACGTCACATACATATTGGTTCAAACCGTTTCGAAATACAATCCAATCCACGTTTTAAAACCATTTTCTCGCACCGAGAAGCTATGACGCCATGAGACACTGGGGACACCTCAAGTATCGGCAAAGCGTGGTCCAATAGGTCCAATGGACCTCCTCTACTGTCTGTACAACCCAAGGATAATACACACTACTACTACAGGATAGCCTATGCTCATAAGGCCTGTGTAGTTCAAATCTCAAGCCTCCCACCATGCCAAGGTATCAGTGATGACGTAGGCTGCTTGTCGTTTTTCGCCTTGACGTAGGGCGTTTGTCCACAGGTTATGATTCCGCGGGCTTTTGCTTATGCATATACTTGGTTTTACTTCATTTATTAACATTATATAACAACTCTTTTTTAAATCTCGTTTGCATCATTTTGGAACCTTTAAGGCCCATCTTGGTTCAAAACAGAATTCAGCTGAAGTCAACTGGTACTTGAACTACGAACTTTCCCATTTGAAATGCATTGCTGTCAAAATTGATAGAATTTATTTAATAGCTGACAACAATGTATTTTAAGGCCCAGTTGTACAATCTCGGTTCAAAACAAAGTTCACCTGAACTCGACTGGTCTTGAGGTAGGTAAAAAGAGGTAGGTATGACACGACCCCTATCCCCTATTCAAATTTGAAGATTGTTCTCCCCCTAGCTAGGGGGTTGAAGCTACGGGGATGAAAAAAACTGAAAAATATTTCCCTTTCAAATCAAAAATCGACGTGTCCGAGCGTTTTTCCATATTTTCATCTTAAATGCAATAAATCGAGGTGGACTGTTTTCCCTGGGACACCCTTGTATTTTACAAGTCGAGTCGAAATTCGTATCGAATTGTCAAAATAGCGATTCTTTTCTTCGATTTTTCGATAAGTATCACATGGTACGTCCGAGCTGTCGTATTCGATATGGGGTGTCATAACGAACAATTCGATTCGACTCGTGAAATAGAATCCGGCAGCTGTTCTCACAGAAGAAATTAAATATCCTTGATCCTCGAGTATCCCAGAATTTGATGGTGGGGGAGTTAGGGGAGTATGACACAATTGACACATCACATAATCCAGCAAAAGATTTTGCTTGGTTATCCTCGCGAAAAGGGTACCTACAGTGGGAATTTGGGAATCATTGCAATTGGCACCCACTATATAAATATCCCTCGTAATGTGTCAAATCTGACACACAGGGCATTCCAAAAAAAAAAAAACTAACAGGGCACACAAATCGATTCTGTCACCTTGTGTGTCAAATAATGTAAAAAATATTTTATAAACTCAAATAAGTTAATAGGGACATAAAGCTACTTGAAATAATTCGCCGGTATCGGTATCGGTATCCGCAACGCAACTAGATACGTTGACAAGCGAAAAGGCTGTTAAAGCGCTCCCTGTTCCGGTAAACGTAAACGCATCTCATAATCTAGAAATTTTTGTCTCAAAACTCCGGCGTTTTTATATCTAACCTTAAAATTTTTATTTTTTTTGCGATAGAGAAGCACTAAACACACAAGAAACTCAAGAAAGTATAAACTAAACAAATTAAATCAACCCGGAAAAAAAGTGAGGTTATATTCATTTAAAATTTGACACATGTGTCAGGAATGTCAAGATACGTTACCGATACGGATACCGCGAGAGGGCCGTAACGTTACGTTGTACTAAACGTTGTACGTACGGTATCTCGGCCTCCGTATCGCTTCTGCACATGCGCAGTACGATACCGATACGGATACCGAGCAAAAAATACGGAAGCTTTATGTCCCTAATTTTTTTTGTGTTTTAACGTAAACTAAAGTATGGCTGACTACTTGCTAAAAATAGAACGCAAAAATCCTGATGTAGCTGTGCGTTACAAACAAGAAACTGCGGCTATAAACAGTGTTGATCCGTTGCGTTTGGGCTAATAATTCTGCTCTGAGTTCAAAACTTGAAGACTTCCCTCCAGTGTTGCCAGGCCTAAAATTTCTATAGCATGAAATTTGAGTCATTAAAAACATGAGATTTTTAAAATAGCTGAAAACATGAGGGGCCATTCAAAAATAAATAAAAACAGTTGTTTGAAACTCGTGATCTTATTTCATACCATCTTTGGTCAAAAAAAAAATCAAAATAAAAAAAACTATCGACGAAAATACATCACATCACAAAAAAAGGGAACCTATCTTAGTACAGAGGATAGAAGGAACATTTGTGTTTTCTTCAATCACAGCTATATTCTATTTGATTAAAGATTTTTAAGTAAATGTCTATACTTTTCCACTACATTGTTAGTGCTGTATATAGTGGGTTTCTTCTTATTTATAAATGTGTTATCAATGTTAAAATTTGGTACAGTTATTGGACCCAATATATTGTTGCGTTTTTAAAATACCAGCTATTGTACTTTGGGTTTAGACGATTTTTGGACTTTGTGAAAAAATCCTCTCATATGTAGCACTTGAGTGTGGTTTAAACTGCATAAATTTAGCATCACCTCTTTTAAGTTTTGAAACTGATAACCAGAAATATTCACGACAAAATGCAAAAAACCAACATTATTTAATATCAAACCATAAGATGAAAAATCATGAGATTTTTACTTGGAAGCATGAGAGCATGAGATGGACAATGAAAACATGAGATCCCATGTAAAATCATGAGGAATGGCAACGCTACTTCCCTCCAGTCACAAATATGGTCATTATTAGCTATATCCTCGGTTTTAACTACTATAGCTATTATACCAAACAGTAAATGAAAGCATTCAAGAGTTTGGCAGGCTACAAATATTTTGAAGCTGGATTCGTTACATTGTATTTTATATATCGAACAAACTACAGCATATTTAAATTTACTGCCAGTTAAATCTCCATGTCTGATTGCATTTAACCAGCGATATCTTCTGATTTTCGATAATTCATTTTGTTGAACTTTATCGGGATGTTTTCTGTTGCTCCGATGGTAATTTAAAAAATTTCACGATGTCGCGTTCTTCCCTATGACTACATTTCACTACACAACAAAATGCAGGCATTTCACCGACATTTTTTAGCACTTAACATTTGCCTGCCCTGGCTAACTTTTGACAGACGCCATTTTTGACAGATCGTTGGAATGCCCTATAGCAAAATGCTGCACTAAATAGATTTATTGGTTAGAATTTTGACTTAATACGAGGAATTTTAAAGAGTGTGCCAATTGCAATGATTCCGACTGTACATTCAGGCGGTGCCAGCGGCTAAGCTCAGCCACTCAGCGGGGACTTTATTCTTGAAACCGAGGTACAGCGTTCTCATGTGAACGATTGCTCTGTCATTTCCGATAAAAATGACCCAATTTTATGATGATTAGAGTCTAGCTTGCTAGCCTGAAAACAACCCAACTACACATTCCTAGACACAATGCTATTCGGATTTACCACTGATAACTTCTTGAGATAAGCCCTTTCCGTCCTGAAATACAACACTTATCTTTCTCAAGAATCTCAAGCACTACAAAATCACCAAAAACATCACAAAATATGTACAGAAAACAGTTTTGATGATAACAGGTAAGGTAAATGAAATTTTCATGGCACGAATTTCTTCGTTTGACCATGGCCACCATATTTATTCGATTGCCTTATAAATGAAATAACAGATAATCCGCCATGGAGGTTTGTTGGAGAAAGTATAGCGATAGATATAAAATAAATAAAAAAATAAATAATACTATAAGGGTCGGTTTATTCATCTTCAGATAAACTTGCTGGTAACTATCTGCAAAATAAATTTGCCTTGTTTATACAGTGCCAGTGCCCTACCCGGAGGTAGGGTTTTAGAGAGAAAGAATCGTCATTTTGTTTAACCTTTACCGGCCAAAACCTCATTTTTTTGTAGTTAAGTTAGAAAACCTTTCCCACGATTTAATTGAATCC